TCTAAAGAAATAAAAAAGTATAAATTTTTTTTCTGCCTTTTGAAACCTTTTTCTAAGTATATATAAATTTATTTTATTTTTTTTGATATATAAACCTTAGGCGCAAGAAAAATTCAAAAGTTAAATCATGTTTTGTACTTAAGAGCCACCTTAATGCATGTAAGAGTTTATATATATTATTATATATTATATATATAAGTATTAGCAAAAAACCCAATGAAATTTTGTTTCCAAAAGTGTAATTACGATTTGCACCTATGAATCACCCTAATGTGCAAGTGTATAACTATATTTGATTGCTTGACCTTTTGACACTCACACTCTAACAGCCGAAATACAAGAATGTTTTGTTTGATTGTTTTTCACAATTTCATTCTGTTTTATATGTGTGTGAAGTTGTTTCTGTTTCTATCTTTTTTTATGTTTTGGTGTTTTGGTGTTTTGGTGCCTCGGTGTGCGCTAGTCATTTTTTGTTACACGCGATGTCTGACAAGCACTGGCTGGCATCGCTGGGCCGTTGGGTCGATGTTGTGTTCAAAGTGAAATAAGGCGCGCACTCGCCAGCACCGCAACCAACGGTAAGGACGCGCTCGTCAAATTTATACATACATACATACATAAGCTGTATGTGTTTATGTCTGTAAGTGACGACTGATGTTGTTAGTGAAAACGCGGTTGGATTGCGAGAAAACAAAAATGAGAGCGTGAATTCCTCATTGCGTTTCCGATTTTAGCTACGAAAGCGTTACTATTTATCCTTCTCGTAGTTGATTTTTTTTCTTACTGTTACAATGTGCTGTTGTGCTGTTGAATATGGTAGACCAAATGCTGCAGCTGATTTTTGTATGTTTGGCAAATAAACACACGCAATGTGAGAAATGTTTGATATTTGTTTTTTTTTTTTATATAGCGATTCTAGTGTTGTTGTGATGAAAAGAAGCGCATGTTTGGCTGAGAATAAGTGAAATTACATACATACACATGTGTAGATAAGTAAAATGTGTTAGTAGTGCTAAATCGTGCGTGCTGCAGTAAATCTGAAATTTAAGTTTAATTCAGTTGAACTATTTTTTTTTTTCAGAATAAGCTCAGCGTAAATTGAAAAATTATTTTAAAATATAATAAACATATTTTTCTACATATTTTCTTATTAAACGAAATTGTGAAATAACGAAAGAATTGAACTACTAGACTACTAAAGTGCGCGAGTTATGCATAATGCAATTATTGGGTAAGACTTGTTTAGCAAATTTTTTTATTGTTATACAAATATTTTTAATTATATTATTTAATTATTATTTTTGTTTAGTTTTTTACTCTATTTTATTTCGGTTTATTTTATTATTTTATTTTATTTTTCTTAATATTATTTTATTTTATGTTATTAGATGTTGTTTTGTTTTATTTTATAATTTCTTTTATTTCGATTCACTTTATCCCATTTGCATACATTTTTTGTTTAATTTAAATTTTTATTTTTTATTTAACTGCATTTAATTTTTTTCTTTTTATTTCGATTATTTAAATATTTTATTTTATGTTAGTTTTTATTTTGTTTCAAATTATTTGTTTATAATTTACTTGATTTATAATTAATTTTAATTAATTTTTATATTTATTTTTGTTTTATCTTCTTTACACAACGTGAAATAATGTTTTGTTATTTTATTTTATTGTATTATAATTTAAGTTATTGCCATTTATTTTATCTTGGTTTGTGATATTTTTATATTTAATATAATTAGTTATTTATTTTACTGTATTTTATTTTGTTTAATTTTATTTTGATTAATTTTTTTTTTAATTTAATTTTATTTTTGTGATTTTCTTATTTTATATAATTAATTTATTTTATATTACTTGACTTTATTTAAATGTTTTATTTAATTTAGTTTTATTTTATGGTTTTTTATTTTATTTAATGTTATGTTAATGTTATATGTTTTACTTTATTTTACTTTATTCAATTAATTAATTTATTAAATTTTATTTAATTTTTTTTATTGCATTTATTTTATTTTTAAAATTTTAATTTTTTTTAATTTAATTTTTTTTGACCTCAGCTGTCCCAGAGTGTGTGTGCTCTTTGTAAGAATTTTCCTGCTTTTCCTATATCTCTAGAGCTCAAAATTCTTACATTTCTATTGCACTTCGAAGCCAATTCAGTGAATTTTTTCAATATTTTTTCGTCGCAAAACATTTAGTACGTCAGTGCGTATACGCAACCCTTGGAAATTTCTCTTGTGAACCTACGAGTTGACTAGCTCTGTAATAAATTACTTCATATACTATTTCTGTGTTATTTATATTTAATTTACGTTCTTATAATAATATTTATGCCTTAGCGTTCGATATTTACTAGTGAAAAAAATAAAAGCTTACATATATATAAAAATCGTACAGTTTTATGTAGAAAAAAAAAATTAAAATTATAAAAAAATTATGAATAATAATAATAACATCCTGTCGTGTTATATTAATTGTATTTGTAACACTGTAGTCTGTTATAAATTTAAATGTAGATTATCTGCATGTAATTTCCACTTGTCCTTGATACCACCAGGTGACTTTGGCTGTTTTCTAACACAAGCTAAAGTCAGTTATTTTTCCTTAATATTTCTGTCTATAATATAATTATTTTTAAAAAACATCTGTCGCGTACTCACGAGAAAATTTCCTCAACAAGTTCAGTTTATTTTATAAGAGCTTATTCACATATATACTATGTATGTACATATATACACTTTCTAATAAAAGTTATAAGTTAAACATGCTTTTAGATGCATATGCTCGTAAGTATGTATTTATATTCATTAGTTTTTTAGCGAGTCCTAAGAATGGTAGAAAGGCATGTAATATAGTATATATAACAATTTTGACGAGAGTAACTCTAATTTAAAATGACCTATTTTTAAATGGGTTCCGCGTGAATACATATTTAATTTTTTTATTACTGCATAAATGTTGATTTATAATTGCTGAATTAATTTTCGTTCGAATAACTGTTGAATTTTCATGAGAAGATTTTTATTTCTTTGTCTGAGTTACTGCCCTTCGGAAGGGCTGGCATACTTTGGTCTGCAATAAAAATTAACGAAATATAAAAATGACTAATTCGATTTCTACTATTAATTTTAGACCCTAATATATCTATTTTACTAGTATTTTTACTGGTATGTGGAGATAGGTATAAATTAAACTGCTTACGTGAATAGCGAATATCTTTGCATATTTTAAGGCGCTACAAGAACTCAAGTCTTAACTGGTCAATGACGTAAATTGGCTAAAAAGCTAGTTGTTGCAATGTAAATCACCTATTTTTGATGCAGATCACAATTTTTAAAACATGCTCTCGCCGTTTCTACCCATCATCACTGCTCTCTTGAGCAGTTGCAATTGATAGCTGCGCAGTCTTTGATAGCTTCTTTGCAGTGGATTTTGCCAATTTTTTTTTCCGAGCCTAGGAAACTCTCCACTACTCGCTTAGACATAAAGCAAGATATTAAATACATAAATTTTTGAAAAAGACCTTAAGCATTTTGTAATTTCAAAAGGGAAATTGTAAAAATAGTTCGATTTTCGAACAGTAAATTGGATTTTTTCGGAAGGTGGTCGTAACAGGATTTGAACCCTGACCTTTCGAACGACAATACGCAATGCTAACCACGCGTTCGGTCAAATATGAAGACCTTTTTTTATTTAAGGTAGATTTATTTCTGGACCTACTTCGGCCTTTTTCTGGTTTGTCCACATTAAAAGTACTTAAAGAGAGTCTGTTTTTTGGAAGAAAGACATCATTGTTATCCGATTTCGCCCACATTCAAGTCGCGTTCATACTGGATCATGGGAATTATAAGTATTAAATTGCATTGAAGTCTATCATCCTCTGTGCAGTGGTTTCTGCGATATACCTTTTTGGCTGAAGTGTGTGTGTGTGTTGCCACGCCCATACCAAAACCTATGCACTTCTCATATTTCTCCATTTAATATGTTTGTACCCAATGAATATGACATTTATTTACTGAATTATGGGGATTTTCGTACTTTTCGAGGTCTTCCTTAGAAGGGAAGTGGACATGAGCTCGGCCCGCTTTTAAGCATTTCCAATTGCATGAGCATCACGTTTCATCATAATATCTCAATCCTTCTTTAAGTTATGGCATATACAAGAAGACAGATAAAGGAACAGGCAGATATGACTATGTCGGTTTGTCTTCGTCTGTCCATGAAGTTTGATATGTGTGTGCTTGTATGTATAAAACATATTTATATCCCTTTCTATCTCGATTGTTTTACATCGTTATGTGCTATTGCTCTTCGTACATAGTGCAGCGGAGAGAAAAAAAAAATACTTTTTAATTAAGCTATGAATAATTAAAAAAAAATTAGAAAATGAACTTTTGCATTGCAGAAGCTTATGAGCAGATGTAGTTATTATTTCCATCCTATAAGCTACCATTATAATTTTTGGTATTTTATAACTCATTTAGAAGTGCAAAGAGAGAAGAGTACTTTTTTAAAAACAAATAATTCCTGATATGAAAATCCAAATACATCTCTGGGTATGACTCAAAAGGCCCGAAGGGATCTTCATTTCAAAATGCCAATAAAAATATTTTTAGTTATAAAAACCGTGAATGTAAATATTTCCCAAAAATAATATAAAAAATAATAAAAATAGGTGTACAATTTTTGAGTGGTAATTATTAAGGACATAATATCAGATTTACGAACTTTGATTATTTAAAAAAAAAAAACCATCTGAATTGATTTAATCCATTTGAAAGCAATAAAAACCTTTTTAATTTGTAAAAAATAAAATATATTTTATTTACGTATATAATTTTGAATTAATTTTGATTTCACTTGTGATTCCTTAAATATTTCATTCCCCATTACAATTTTTCAATAATTTAATAAATTTTTATTTATTATAAAATTACATTTCTTCCTTAATTAAAATATAAATATGATTTTTGAATTTTTTCTCTCTCCCTCAGGTTTCGTCACATCCTCAAAATGGCCTTAACTGTGTCATTGCGTCGCGTGTTGCTCTTGCTATTGATGACAACGATATTCATACTAATGCTTTTGTACTGGAATCAAGATGGCATGAAACCGCAGTCTTTTTTAGTTGAAAAATCAATGAAGCGCCGAGCGGATGTTAATATGCGACCGCCAATGTAAGTTTAAGCTGAAAAAATATATTTTTCAATTAATTATTTTATTATGTTAATTTCTATAATTTATAATTTATGCTTAAAATCAGTCGTGCTAAACAATTCTCAAACGTTTTCCAAAACATTCTTACAGACCCGATGAAAAACTGTGGACGTATAAGTGCGAAAATGAGCGTTGCGTGCGACATTCATACCCCACACACGCAGGTGGCGGCACGCCCACCGATCGTCGCATACCCTTCATGACGTGCGCCATGACCTGCGGTGAGGTGAATATTTGGCCACATCCAACTATAAAAACTGCCATCAGTTCAGTCTCGTTGAAATTCACCATGGAGGATGTGCAACTGCGCATGGACACACCACACAGTGCGGTGGAAACACAATTCAAGCAAGCGTTTGCCTATTTCCTAAGCGACTTACGACGCATACAGCGGTTGCCGAGCGCGGCGGAGAACTCAGATGGCGCGGCCGTTGTTGGACGTGAAGCGGCAACCGATGATAAGGCCGCTGTGCGTTCACCACTTTCTGTACAACAAAAATTGCAGGAGCAACAACAACAGGGACAGTTGGAACAACAAAATCTGCAACGTAATCGTGCGCGACGTCATATACCGGATGCCGATGATGTTGGCGGCGAGACTGTATCAACGTATAAATCTCGACACAAACGTCGTCACGTCGATATTGGTCGTGCTTTGAGCAATAATTTGGGTGATAATTTGGCGCCGGCGGCTATTTTGAGTAGTGTTTTCAATACGCGTCGCCACTGTGATGTGGACACGCTGTTGGTGGAAGTGGAGGTGCATAAATCCGGCGAGATCTATCTGAGCTTGGATACGGATGAGAGCTACAAGCTGTCCGTGGCACGTAAGTGAAGTGCAGGGAATAATTTTAAGGGACTTTTTTCATACCAACAAATAGCCGTACAGTGTAGAGTCGTCTGGACACTAAATTTCATCCTCAAGTGGCATCACTTTGCTACAATCTGGTAACGACGATATTAGACTTGAAAAGTATAAAAAAGTTTAAATTAAAATTTGTAGATTGAGGCCGCGTTTACCAGATTCATTGAAGAGCAATTAATTCAAATTGGAATTTTCGGATTCACCTACCACTCTTACCACGCTTTTGTCATACTTTCACTCAAATAAAAGCTTACTAGAACTGAAAAAAAGTCATTAAATGATATATTGCTTTAATTACTTTCTACTTATTGTAATGATTTGATTAATAATAGAATTTCCATTTTTCCAACAGATGAGCGCCGCACTATAAACGTCCACATCACAGCAAATACTTTCTATGGCGCCCGACACGCCTTGTCCACACTGCAGCAATTGATTTGGTATGACGATGACGATAATCTCTTGCGCATCCTATCGAAGGCGATTATTGTTGATACGCCAAGATTTCGCTATCGCGGCCTTATGTTGGATACCTCTCGTCACTACTTTACAGTGGAAGCGATTAAGCGCACCATTGTCGGCATGTCACATGCGAAACTTAATCGCTTCCATTGGCATATAACCGATACGCAAAGTTTCCCTTATGTTTCGAAGAATTTCCCGGAGATGGCCATACATGGCGCCTATTCGGAGCACGAAACCTACACCTTCGAGGATGTACGTGATATAGCGGCATTTGCACGCTTACACGGCGTACAAGTCATACCCGAGATCGATGCGCCGGCACACGCGGGCAACGGCTGGGAGTGGGGACCGAAACGTGGCTTTGGCGAACTGAGCTTGTGTATAAATCAACAGCCTTGGAGTTTCTATTGTGGTGAACCGCCATGCGGACAATTGAATCCGAAAAATAATAATACTTATCTTGTGCTGCAACGCCTCTATGAGGAGCTCCTAAATGCTACAGGCCCTACGGACTATTTTCACCTCGGCGGCGATGAGGTGAATCTAGAGTGCTGGGGTCAATACTTCAATGACACGGACTTACGTGGGTTATGGTGTGATTTTATGCTTAATGCGATGGCGCGGTAAGAAATAAATTTGGTTATACGTGTGTACGTATATTTTTTATACTATTTCTTGCTTAGTCTGAAAATCGCCAACAACAATGTGGAACCACGCGTGGTAAGTGTTTGGTCGAGTGGCCTGACCAACACAAAATGTCTTCCAAGCAGTCGTTTTGCTGTACAAGTGTGGGGCGGTAGTACGTGGCAGGAGAATTACGATCTCATTGATAACGGTTTTAATGTGATCTTCTCACACGTGGATGCCTGGTATTTGGATTGTGGTTTTGGCAATTGGCGTTCAACGGGTAAGTGATGAAGTTGAAGTAAATATGTATACATATTTGTGTAAATTATAGATATTTGTATATGTATTTATGTATAAAATATGCATTTTGCTTTTTTCCTTTGCAGGTGAAGGCGCCTGCTCGCCTTATCGCACGTGGCAGAATGTCTACAAACACAGACCATGGGAGCGCATGCGTCTCAATAAAGCGCAGCGAAAACAGGTAAGGCTTGGCGTTTAAAATTTTTTATCATTCTTTAATTGAGGTTAGGGCACGATAATGAAGCAGTTCGATTTGTTTGTTCCGTGGCGTCTTAGTGTGAACTGTAGGTCCCTCCATTTGTTGGGAAAACAACAAGACGCAAAATACACAAATTGAAGGAGGAGCTCGCCTGTTACAAAGCAAAGTTTTATATGTAAATATATATATGGACTAATGATTCCCTCTGCACATGGAGTACAATCGATTTTGTAAGGCCGAAACTATTCCATAAAGTGGATGGGCACAGCTCCAATTGTTGTGTACGATGGTGGATGTATGAAGGGATGAATTCCACTTTTCTTCGACACTCTGATATACAGCAGCAATAGTGTCTTCGGATCCCACTGTACATACTCTGAGTACGCGCATTACCCCCTTGAGTAAATGTGGTGCGGAATTGACCCATGGTTGCTAATGCGCTACAATATGGTCGGTGGTTTTTTCTGACTGCAGGTTTCCTTAAAACTAATTTTGAGATGGGATAGATTTTTTCTGCTGAGATGGAATAATTTGTTTTTTTTTTAATATTGTATAATAAATTAAACTTCTTTATTTCATTATAAAATAATTAATTATTATTATTTTTTAATTGAAATGGAACCAGGTATTGGGCGGAGAAGCCTGTATGTGGACGGAGCAAACTGATGAATATCAATTGGATAACCGATTATGGCCACGCGCCTCTGCGTTGGGGGAAAGGTAAATAGATTATACGAATCTAATGAATACTAATTGGGGTTTTTGAAAACAACATAGATCACTTAAATTTCGTCTCTCCAAACGATTTCAGATTATGGAGCGATTTAGATGATGACAGAGAATTCGATGTAGTACCACAGGATGTCTTCAAGCGTATGTCGGTGTTTCGCAATCGACTCGTCGAACTTGGCTTAGAAGCGGAGCCGATATTTCCCAAATTCTGTGCGCAACATCCAGGCGAATGCATTTGATACTATTTCTAATCACACATGATCGTCGGCATTGAACCATACTGCATTTGTATATAAATATATATATTTATATATGTAGTACGTACGCGCCTGTACGCAATATACAGACTTATGCATACATATATATGTATATATATAAAAGAAGAATCTCGGGTTACTCAGTTTGGATCAATTTGTGCCTAAACAGTGTAAAATTCATAACCGCGTCGAAGTTGTTTTGTTTTTAGTGTAATTTTAATTTTAATTTTATTTTATTTTATGCGTTTGTTTGTGTGTATGTATGATTTGTTTTCTTGTGTTACTAGAGTTAAAACAATTGATATTAAATCTAGCGTAAGTTAAAAAAAATTAATCGAAAAGTAATGCTAACATATACATATGTATAAACAATATATACATTTACATATGTTTGTAGGAGTGTGTATGTATGAATGTAGCTGAAAATTTCCTCCAAGGCTAAAAGCATGGCATTGGAAAATCAGGTGGTGGAGCACGAAGAAGAATAAGAACAAAGAAGAACGAGCATTAGAAATTATAATGATATTCTTTTGACATATGTACATATGTATATGCATACACATATAAGTATGTTATAGGTTTTTATGCAATTTTTCTATTAGCGCAATTGTTTTTATTTATGTATCTTAGGTTTTATTTAAATTTAAATGAATATACATACATAAATTTTATATACATATTTATGTTTATTACACACATACACGTACATTATTATGTCAAACACTGTTTCTAAATATGCAAATCCATTGGGTTACTTTATAGTCGCTTTTATAAGAATATACATATGTACTACATGCTTACATAAGTATGTTGCTGTCATTAGTGGGCAGTGTTGAAAGGCCCTAAATGATAATTTTAAAATTGGTTTAGCTTAAAAAAGAACTAAAGTTTTGTAAAGCGAATTTCCGTTGCTGTTATTAGGATTATTTTCTCTTTTGAAAGTGAATAATTGTTTTCTTTGAAGTGACTGTCTAGCGAAATAAATTTCAAAAAAAAGAAAGAAAAATGCAAAAGTGCATTTTGGCTTTACACATTTCATAACGGCACATTTATAAGCATATAGACATATACTTTGTACACACTTACATGTATAAAAAATTAAATGCATAAAAATATATATATTTTTTTTTTGATAATATTTAACTTAAGCTTTTGAAAGACAAACGAAAATAAAAAAATAAAAATAAAAAAATATAAAAATAATAATAATTTGTTAATTTTAACTTAATTTTTTTTGTGTATGTATGTCTTTATATGAATTTTAGCGATTTTATACCAACGATTCTTTAAACATATTAAATTGTTATGAAATAAATAATTAATAAATGAGCGAAAATGTAAACCTCAAAATGACACACGTTATATAGGCCGATAAAACAAATATTCTATAATTTTATTTTTCTTTCTATGTACTCAACGGCATTGACACATATAGAATGGCTGATTACAGAAACTTGTAACTTATGAAAAGTTAATAATATAATAAATTAGCGTAAATTGAATTGATAAAGCTAATAGTTTTAAGGGATTTTTAGTGATACAATGTGACCTTATTTGGAAAAATATGAAAATATGAGACAAATTATAATGAAAAAAAATAAAAATAAAAATAATATTAATAATTGTAAAAGTATCCATAATGCTGCAATTGTCATAAAATTTAGAAAATTATTTTATTTCATTTTTATTTTTGTAAAGTCCACTAGAACTGTATATACATACATACATAACAAATGCTAAACGAAAATCAAAATTTTGTCTCTTATACTAAATACGAAATAAGTTGTAAAATAATTTATAAATATTTAAGTCCGATTTTTCTGAATAGATTACAACATATTGATAGTTGAGTGCAAAATTTAGTGTATTTTTTTTCGAATTTTTAAATATTATTTTTAATCAAATTGAGTAGATTGACCATAAAGGCAAAAGCAATACATTAGGAATTTAATATGAAGAAAAGCTGCTCGGGAAAATGAATGCTTTCTTTTCCCACAACTATTTTGTATGTGTAAAATATAAAAATTGGCTAAAAAGTTATAAACATCATTAGATATTATTGTTTTACATAATACATTTTTATTAAAAGTAAAACTTTTTTTTTAAATTTAGAAAATTTTTTTTTTAATTTTTTTTTAATTTAAATTTTTTTTTTTTAATTTAAATTTCTTTTTTTTTAATTTTTTATTAATTTATTTTTGTATTAGCACTATAAATTATTTAGTTTTCGTTTTAAAAACTTTTAAGAAATAATTGCAGAAGTATCAAATTACCGCAAAACACACTCAATCATCGATATGTACATATTTCTATTGACGCAGTTTTAATTTCCCATATGCTATTCTAGCTAATATATAAGAAACATACTTTGTTTCAACATAGATTAAAATTTTTAATTGTATCCACTCTACTTCACATTTGTTAAATTTTTTTTTCCTAATCGCCTACTCTCATTAAATAATACACACATCCTTTGTATATATAGTTTTGCTCATAGAAAACGTGCTAAAATCTATTTCTCTGTATGTGTGTAGGTTTCAAGAGCTCATTTAACAGTCTTTAAAGAAAATAATAAAATGCAATTAATTAAGAAAATGCGAACCGATCGGCCTAAGCATTTAATTACACTCAATATAAATAATTTGAAAAAAAAAAAATAATATAAAAAACTGTAAAAAATTAAGTTTACATATTAAGTACTGCATATACAAATTGACTTACACGTGTAATGTTTGTACGTACAAAATATGCGCGAATTACATAAATACAATATAATATAATCTAAGGCAGTCGTATATGCAGTGATACTGTTTTCCTTTTTTAACAAATGATAAATTATAACTGTAGCAGATTAATAAAGTACTTATTGAAAAAAAAAATGAAATAAATACATATGTATATATGAATTTCAATTAACCATATTTAAAGCGTTACGGCAAAAGTTTTAGCATTCACCAATGTCGAATTCAGCTGGCAACAATATCACTCGCACCTGAAGGCAATCAAAAAATAATAATTTTTGACACAAATTCTCTTTAGAATTGTGCACTTTGAGTGAAAACATTTTGTGTTTGTTTCGAAAATGAAAATTTCTTTTCTGCTATGGAGCTTGTTGGCAACGTATGTAAGTATCCTGCTGCTGCTGCTATGCTTTGCTATTAATATTTTTTTTAAATTTATTTTTAATTCTTTCCTTTTGTGTTTCTCCCTCAGATACACGCAACCATCGCCCGTAGTCCTGAGTTGTTTACCTGCGATTTCGATCTTGTTAACGGTCAAGGCAATAGTCCTTATCAACCGTGGACGCGTAGCTTCCTCTCGTCTAATTGCTTAAATATGTATGATAAACAGCACACGGATCGACACATGTACGATATGTATATGAACGAAGCGTTGGAGTTTCGAAAATTCATAGCGGCCATAGAGAATTACGAAGCGAAAAAGTCGGGAAAACCATTGTGTCATGATAAGGAAGTAAGTTAATATGTGTGAAAAGTGCACTTATCTGCAAGAGTCTTTAAAAGAAGAGAGAGAGAGTTAAAAAGGAAATAAGTAATAAATAGTTCTTAAAGCATACCTTTAGGCGCCATGTTATATTAAGCACTTCTCTCCTAAATGTCAGATCTAGCCAAACTAAATTAAAATTCAAAGTTTCATATATAAATTGGTGTAGTAAAAAGAAAACCATTATTTTGTATAAGTCCGATTGGAAGGTCATTTGTCGATAAAATCATTGACTTGGGCGAGTCCAACAGCCATGTAAGCACTGAAGATTGCACAAAAAACTGTTTGGAACCATTTAAATAGGGCTGGATATGAAAAGAAAAATTAAACCCTTCAAGTTTATGCAAAAATAATGGATTTCTTTTCACTACACCTTATATTAATAGAAAATGTTGAAATTATCTATTATCTTTTCCCTCTCGCATGCAACTTTTTTTTTGCAATCACATGTAAAAACCATCATCAATCAAAAAGTATGCTTTGAACCTCGAAGATCGTCAGAAATTCTATCAGCTGGCAAATCTTTTTGACTGCTACAAGATGAATAATTATGAAAGCTTTCTCTACTGCATTACGGAAAAACGAAAGGAATTGGTGAATATAATAAATAATGCCGGTGCATAAGTCAAATGATCATCACTTGAAGATTTTAATTTGATACTAAGAAAAATATTTTAATTTTATAAAAAATTTCTTCTTTTAAAAAAATTTTTCGCTTTTCAAAAACTGTTTAAAATTTAGTGTGAACGCTTTAAAGGCTTGTTTTGAAAATTATATTAAAGAAAAATATGATGAAATTCGAACGCGACAGCAATGCACTTTCGAGCAAATAAAATCATAGTCTTAAACTTTTCTTTTCAAAATCTCGCTTTCACTAACCCAGTTATGGTATGCCATTAAACTCATTTTATGCACTGTCGCACGGACATTTCCTTACTCTCTGCACTCAACAGCCTAATTGTTCGTGTAAAGACTGTTGACGACTGCAAATCGTTTGTTCAGGGGTCTTCGGAAAGTTTGTACTAATAGAAAATTGGGGAGCTGCCGTTCGTCTATCATAACATGATTGATCTGGTTGCGAGTTTCTCGATGCGCAGGCAGCCAAACAGATTTTTGAATTTTCTTATGCTGAAATCTATTTTCGGCGCTGGAGAAGTCAATCAGCTGCAAGCCGTTTAGGAATATTTCGTCGTGTATGCTCAATTTTTTACAAATTTGACATCGAGGCGCCGCTCATAAGTACGCTCCAGCCGCTCATAAAATATATATTCGGCCACATCGTTCTTCTTTTCATCAATCAATCAGCCATATGTTGAAGAACTTTACTCTGTTGTGGATTGTAGCAATATGTTCATTCACCGAGTTGAATTACAGAACTCGGTAACTGAATCTCTCTCCCACCACAAATCCGATATCATATTTGAGCACCTTTAAAGGACCTGCTCATTCATCGCAACCGACGGGTATCAACCCAATTCAGCAAAAAGTCTTTTCATTCGCATACCCTCAAACTATAGTACCTTAGTAGATTTGCCTTTGTCTGAATCAAAAGTGGAATCCCTCAACCGAGTTTGTTGTCGCTTTTCATTTCAGTTTCATCTGGTTTCTAGGCAGCAGAACCTAAGCAAGCAGCCAACATCGTTACGCGGGTCGGTTTAAATTTTATGCACTGTTATGTAGCGAGTAGCTTTTACATTACATCCAGACCGACACCCTCTCGTAGCTACGCCTCTAGTGAACAGACGTCACAAAAAAAAATACTCTAGAAAACAAATTAACCGTCTGCATCTGCGGACAGAGAATGCGAGAAGTAGGCCGAAATACAACCAAGTGTTTGAGAAGCTGGTCGTTAGGGGTAACGATCGAAAATTATATGAAGGAACGCGACGACATACAGAAGTTTTCAAGACCGAAGTTTACTCATATAGACCCAAAGAGGTGAACAGACGAACGATACCCAAAGTGCTCTGAGTTTATGGGGAGAAACTTCCTCAGCCTAATCAAATGTAGTGAAAGATTTTAGTCCTTGTTCGTCGTGAGAGAAGACTGTACTTTTCGATTACTTACTCAGATGACTTAAAGTACAATTCAAGCGTCTATTGGCAGCGTAATGATTTTCAAAGTGACTTGTTTTTTTTTTTTTTTTTTTTTTTTATATGTCTTTATGATTTTTTTTATTTATTTAATTTTTTTTAACATAAAAAGTGGCAAATTTTACCTTTTTTTCAATTTTTTGCAAATGAAAATTATTTGTTATTTACTTTTTGCTGCTCAGGTAAGCTACATTATTTATTATTATTATTATTATTTGTGTTTATTAATTTGTTGTTATTATATTTCTAATTTAACGTAGTTTCTTGCGACGAACTCTGCACCACGATTGTATTCAGATTCCTGCGACTTTGAGTATGTTAGCGATTACGGCAATGAAACGGGTAGACCGATTCCAGCCAACGACTTGGGGACAGCTTGTGCACAGGCGTTTCCTGGCCGTCGCACGGAATCAGCTGTGTATAAAAATTATTTAGGTGAAGGCTATCAGTTTGAACATTTTTTGGAACAAATGGAAGCTTACGAAGCGAAAAAATCCGGAAGGGAGTTGTGCCATAATGATGAGGTAAGTACTAACGACACACATACATACCTGCAGAGATGTAAGTACTAAATTTGAAAACTAACGTGGTTAAAAAGTGATTCAAGCACAAGAAAAGCTAAAGGTGGCTGATCAGTTCGACCAGCGCTCTTAGGCCTGAAGGCCCATTGTGATATGGATGTGGAGTACTTCTCTACTTTCCCAGATGTAGGAACCATTTTGTGTGGCTTGTGAACGATGCGATATTGCTACGATACTATACCAGTCGTTGCTGCGTCAGCCAGGCAGTCAAGAAAGTGATGTCCTAAGTAGTTCTGTCGTGTGATGCTTAGAGCTGAACAGTGTCACAGGTATTGCTCGGTAGACGTTTGCTCTTCTTCGGCCGTGCAACTACGTCAAAGTCAATGGAAAAGTAACCCATACTTCTCATATGAAGTACCCTTAAACGACGTGCAGTTAGTGTGCCCGTTCTAGATGGATTTGAGCCTTCGATCTTCCAAAGTTCAGCACGTTCCACAGCTGTCTAGTCACGTTGCCAGTTGCTTCACTAAGCCTTCTGGTGGTGGCTGCTTAGGTGAAAGCCAGCTTCAGTCTGAGTAGTAGAATTTATTGTGGTTAGAGTGGTACTTTCTCCCGCTAGCTCAAGGGAGATTCTTGAGCGATGTTTCATAGTTGATTCGTTATTTAATTGCCTTGATCTGTTAAGGAATTTGTGTTTACTAAGAGTTTTTTGTTGTTTCACCCTCCTTTTCAAAGTACGCCTTATTTCTGGATGATCGTCGAAGATTTTACAAGAAAGCCAACTTCTTGGACTGCTACAATAAAGCCGCTGGTGGTGCCAAGGATTTTAAATTACTGGAATGTGTTGTGGACGAACGGAAGAAAATTACGAAAGCAATTATGGAGGAAATACAAACAAGATATGGTGGCTAGCGTGACCTACATAAATATAAATTAAAATATTTTGTAATGAAATTTACTGTTTTGTACTGTATATTAAGTGTATAAACATCATCTGGTATAATAAAAACTCACACTTGGGGATTGTTTATAAACCATTTGTCGTATCGGTCGTATTTTAGGCTTTCCAGGAGTTCTTCCTCGCCCCAAATGGACTGTGGTTTTGTTTCACTCTTCTTTCGTAACAGCCGATGGCCCACGATGCGAGATAATGCACGCACCAAAAGCTTCCTTCTTCCTCTGGCTGTGGCGCTTTGTTGGAACCAAAGGTCTTCTACATCAACATTGTCTAATTCAGGTACGAAAAAGTCATTAATCCTGGCTCAAGGACGTTCCTCGTTGACTGTAACTTTATGGCCGACTTCATTTATCTTTTTTGAAGAAATATGAACCAATAAATCTTTGTGCCCATAGAGCACATCAAATACAGAATTGTCGAGGACTTAACGGTGTTTTTACAATGGCTTGTTTATTAACCCATTCCGATTCCACCAAAAGCGGGCTTCATGGCTTCAATGCTTGCATGAGTGGATTTTTGTAGGCTCGTAAACCAAGGTGATTGCGCAAAATCTCCCATAAAATGCATGGGCACAGCTCCAACTGATACGCGCGGTGACGGATGGACTCATTTGGATCTTCTTCGATACTCTGCTCCAGTAAAAAATCTTCGATTCGCGCTGTACGCGTCTCTGAGGTTAGCCTACTTAGTTCCTCAGTTTCAATTAATATTTCTAACCTTGGAGTGAGGGCTCCAGCTTAGTGCGCCCAAATAGAGATTAGAGGATCATATAAGCTGTAAGGCGACCAGGGTAACCGAGTGGTTAGCCTTGCGTACTGCCATTCGGATGGCTCGAGTTCAATTTCCAGTGCGAACAGTATCCAAAAGTTATAGAAAATTAGTTTAAATAAAAAATGAAGTTAAATTTTCGAATTGCGGTCACCCCACAGCAGGGAATGTCCGAGTGTCGTAAATAAAATAAAGCTCCTCATAGAAATACCATCAGCCTTTCGGAGGCGGCTTAGTATAAACTGTAGGTTCCTCCATTTGTTGTTAAACATCAAGACGGAAAACCACAAAATGGAGGAGGAGCTCGGCGGAAAATCATTTCTGCGGTTATAAAGCGCCAATTGTATACAAACTGTGCAACAACTGTAGTATTTTCCAAGCTGAATACTTGCTATAAAAAATGTCGGCAGACTTATCGCAGAGAGGCGGCTTTCTTATAAAGAGTATACCTTTTTCTGTAATAACCAAGCAACCACTAAGGCCTGTCTTTTACAGCCCGTAGTCGTTTGTGGTTGAGCTAAGTTCGTCTGTGAAAAGTAATGGTCCACATAGAAGAAAGTGAAGAACGCACAAGATCCAGCAAAGGAATGTGGCGCATATTTTAGTAATGAACAAAGAGTCTAGCAACGAGTAAAGGCGATTTTTCACCACGGAACTGCATCGTGAGAGAAATCAAAGGAAAGGATTTTGGCACTGGATCGTCACTGGAGATGAAAAGTAAATACATGTACGATGTTAATTCATAGAAGAAAAATACTACCCTGGTAAACTCCATCCATCAACGCCTACATCGAGGCCAAAAAATATCCGCTATACAAAGGTCTCCGCCCTGCATATAGTGTGGCAAGACGAGTGTGGTACAGTCTAAGCTGCTAAAACCAGATCATTGATGTTATTGGCTACAAGCAAGTGTGCACCAGCTGTGCGTTGCGTGAAAAACGGCCAGATTCGATGGAAAGACATGGCAAGGTTATATTGCAATATGAGTATGCTTGGCGCCACGTGGCTGCAACGATCAAAAATTAGTTACAATAGAACTGTTAAATGGCAGGGCTAACCCTAAGCCGTATTCTGCAGACCTTTGGCTTTTTCGACGATTTGCGGGGTCACCGGTTTGCGTCTTTTTGAAGAAATCGAAAAATAATTCAATGGATGCATCGAGGACACAGAGGACAAATTTTTTGGAGCTGGTATTCGAAAATTATCAGAGACATTTGTCAAAATTGCCAAAAACCTCAGGCAAAATTTTTTTTTACAAAACATGCCCATTATGACCACAGTGCAATGTAGAATGAATTTTTATATGTTTTTTTAAAAAAACTTCTGTTCATACATATATAAATTTACATTTAATTACTGTGTATATATATTTTTTAAATTTAAAGCTTGTAAATACAATAAAAATTTTAAATATCAAAATAAAAATTAATTAATAATTATATACATACATATGTACACACACATTATATAGGTATTTTTGTTATGTATATTCAGCAAAAATTGTTTAGTTGCTTTAACCAAAGCATCTCCCACTCGGTATACGTTATGCGGCACTCACGAGAAAGTCTTTCAAATCCTTACTGGAACTGATATTTAAACATAGTCGCTACGCGTCGGCGTCGAGTGATTCCGTTTCATTGAGCTGGAACTGTAACTGTGATGCTAGGGTCGCGTACAAATCATATACTCCTCGGTACTGTGAAGAGATATACACAAGAGGGTTTAGATAAATGAGAGAAGAGAAAAAATATTATACCATATATCAGCTTAGTGGGCATGACTGAGTTTGGAAGGGTTCGAATTAATAAAAAGAAATCTGCTATAAAAATAAATATAAAAAAATAAAGAAAAAGCTTATAAAAATTATTATGTTTACAGATGAAAATAAAAGTAATAATATTCCTTGCATGAAGAGAGAGGCTGAGAAGCTGAATGCAAGCGGCCGCACTTAAGTCATTGAGCAAGCTCATTGTGCTCCGCGGGTATCCCAACTCGTACAGAGCGTCATACTTTGTGCATGCTCTGCACGCCGCCGATTATACTTAATTTAGCTTATGGAGATGATATCTCAGAGGTAGGTGCTCCGTTAACGCAAACATAATGATTTCGGACTGACTACTTTTACCGCTACCACGCAGTAATTTAGATGTTCTATGTTCATCCGTTTAAAAAAAAAAGTTCGAAGGCGCTGCAAGGTTTGATGGGGTCGATGATGACAGCTAGCGAGGCGTCAACTAGCTTATCCGCCTCTTCATTGCTTTCTACATACCTGTGACGTGGGACCCTGTGTTCTCCCGCTATAGATTGTCATTGCCTATGCATTATTTGACTCATTTGGACTTTGTACTTAGTAGTGCTAGGCACAGATTAAGTACGTTCAGCGGACCCCATTATGGCTTGACCCATTCTGTACACGAACTCTGTGTTGACCTTCTGTTTTGCAACTCTCGTTTTTAAGCTGGCGGTTAAGTATGATGCAGGGGTGACACTCTGCGGAAATGTCCCTCAGGCTACTGTCATGACTGTCTTCGCCTGTTTAAACCCTGGCAGGCCTCGTACAGTGGAGAAAAATCTTGATGCTTGCACTGCATTTGGCTCTAGGCACCTTACTTCATAACGGTGTGTGTCAACCCGCGCTTGACCGCTCTGTTTTCACATGATTTCACAGATAACCATGAGATCCCATAGTGTCTATGCATTTCGTGCCAGGATAGCGACCCCGGTGGAGTGAACTCAAGCTTCATCTTCAATAAAAAATCGACACAATACGCCATTCTTCTCTTAATCACAGAGGTAGAAAAACATTGCATGTGAACATGATATGGGTTTTGCGGAGGTGCCAGAACTCACAACATCTTTCTTGCGCTGACCAAGTCATGCCAAGATAATGGTGCAGGAGTGTCGAGTACTGCGAGTTATTTATTCTTTTGTCGAGAAACGTCGAGGATAATTTTTCGATCGTCTTAACGGGAATCCCTTCCTTGTTTTTTTGAATAAACTGTGCCACTTATACAACAAGGGTCTTCCCGCACAAGAGTCGCCGTAAGTCAAATGACATCTCATCCATATCCATAACAGCCGAGAGGTTAGCGTTACGTAAGAGCATTCGGAGAGTCGGGGCTCGAGTTCTACTTCGGCCAACATCTCAAATAATAGAAAATTAATTTTTCCCTCCGAGTGTATTTCTGGCATGAAGTAAAAAGCTCCTCAGAAAAATCCATCGGCCGTTCGGATGCGGCTAAGTATAAACTGTAGGTCCCACCATTTGTTGGTAAAACATCAAGACGCAACACCACAAATGGGAAGAGAAGCTCGGCCGAAAGTCGCTTCGGCGCTTACAAAGCGACAATTATATAATCATTCCCTGAGAACCCTCTCATTCCGCGAAGATAAAAACGCTTTCGCATATGGTGTCGCTCACGATGAATTGTGAGCTTCGTTTCTATATTTATATATAAACTAAAAAATCATCCAATTCGATGGGATTTGCAAGAACTCAGAAATATTTTCGCACTCCAGTTGGTAGAAATTAATTTTTAGGAAGATGGAAAACCGTTAATATATTTTTGAGTGGCAGCACCCTTGATCCAAAATGATAAAAATTCATTTTCAAAAATTATTTGAAACTCAAAATTTTTTTTGGTGCAACTTCAAACATCTTCCATCATAAAAATTTGTATTTTTAATTTCTTTGCAAACACAAGTTTTTTTTTCTGTTTTCTTTTTTTTTTTGTAAATGATATTTATTTATCTTTTACTATTTGCCGCTCGGGTAAGGATCTCAGTGCTCACTGCATTCGTAAATCATTTACAATCAATTGTTTTCTTCAAGTGCTTTGCGGTAACGGATATTGAACCGGTAAGATTTGAAACATGTGATTTTGATCTCGTTAGTGTGGATGGTAAGGACACGACCAAGCTTCTCCCTGCACAATTGACGACAGTTTGTAGGCATATGCAATACAACACGCACTTGCGGTACAAGCTAACGGAAGAAGCCGAGCGGTTTGGGAAATTCACTAGGGCACTGGAAATGTACGAGGCGAAGAAATCTGGTAGACCATTCTGCTACAATAATGACGTAAGTGAAGGCGCGTAAATACTTTACATAACTGCATACTTATTTATATATATATTATATATCATATATATATATATATATATATAAGTATTACTTTTTATTTTCATTAAAAAACATGGAATTACATTTTACATTGCTTTTCATGCGAATTCTACACCCCGAAAGTATGCTATATACTATGAAGACCGACGTAAATTTAACGAAAGAGTCAATTTTCGAGATTGTTATATGAAATTTTCCAACTATGATACATTTCTGGAATGTTTAGTGAGTGCACGGAAGAGGCTTACGGACATAATAACAGCGGAAACACAAAATTATTAAATTAAAGCAATTAAATATATATGTATGAATGTATGTATGTATATATAGTATATTCTGTATCTAGCGGCCGCGGTAGCCGAGTGGTTAGCGTTGCGTACTGACATTCGGAAGGCTGGGGTCATATTCCAGTGCCAGCAACATCCAAAAGTTAAGAAAAATTAATTTATATAAAAATTTAGTTAAATTTTCTAATTGCGATCGCCACTCGGCAGGGAATGTCCACCCCCCGAGTGCTTTTCGGACATGAAATAAAGGCTCCTCGTAAAAAACTATCAGCCGCTCGGAGGCGGCTTAGTAAAACAGTAGTTCCCTCCATTTGTTGGAAAAGCATCAAGGCGCAAAACCACAAGCTAGAGGAAGAGTTCGGGCCAAAAACCGCCTCAGCAATTACAAAGCGACGATTATATATAAATTATATTTATCTGTATCTCGCCTTGTGCAAGTCCTATCGGATTCCGCTAGTGGCGTTAGAAAGATGATATGTTGTACTAAAAAACCTTTTCTCATAGTTTTGTGATTTTTTTTTCCACGAGAAGGATGACAACGCAAGCCAGGCGGATGAAAATGTGTGTTACGTTTAGGGTCCTGAAACTCTGGCAGTCAATTATGCACAATTTCGGTTCCGTTTTCCACGGAGTGGAAGACCAATGAAATTGCCATAAATCCAATATCCTAAAGGGTGATACATTTCGAGGTTCCCTACTTTTCGAAAGAAAGAATACAGAAATTCAAATTTTATGGGAAATAATTTTTAACATTCAAAAGGACATTTTCAAATCTTGGTCCCGGCTGCGTCTCAGATGGTCCAACCGTTGAGTCCAATTTTCAATTTCTATTTATTCAGTCGATGCTTTACAAATCTTACAGACTGAAAGTACAATTTAATTAGAGACTTAGAACCATGAATGTATACTAAGAATAAAAAGCATTAAGGATAGCGCCAAAACGAGATCTCGGGAATGCGAAATCAAGATCAAGTCTTCTAGAGATTCTATTGAATTCAGAGAGGGCTCCGACAATAGGATCGAATTATGATAATTGGCTTTAATTACATCTAAATAGAACGGATAATGAGAGCGTAAAGTTCTATGAGGAACATTAAAGCTGATTGGCTGAAGCAGCTCTGGACAGTCCATTAAGCCATTTATGATGTCGTAAATGAATTGTAATGACTGCATAGATCGTCGAAGAGCAAGAGATTTCAGATTTTTTTAGCATACATCGTGAAGTAAAAGGAGGTAGCGGATCAGATAAATGGAGCTGAGCAAGAGCGAAACGAATAAACCTACGTTGGACGGTTTCAAGTCGGAACAAATTGGATTCCAAATTAAGCTAGCATATTCCAACTTTGAACGAACCAAAGCCTAAAAAACCAAGGTTAGAATAAGCTTTAAGCATGATGCAGTTGGTGTGAAAAATGAAGGTAAATCCCACAGCAAACAACATAAAAGATAGCTTAGCATCAAATGGATAATAACTCGACCTGAGCCCGTTAGAGCACTTTAAATAAGTAATGTTAAAACATTTTTATTATTTTGGTGCAAATTATTCCGTACTGGTAACTGGCGAATATCACCCGTGATGTTTTGCGCCATGGCCTTAATCACAGCGGGATTATTCGCATAGACTTAAGACTTTACATACCTGCATAGGAAAACGTCTAACGGTGTGATATCACATGATCTTGGTGGCCAATCAACCGGCCAAAATCGTTTATAATCTTCCTACCGAAGTGTGCTCTCAATAAATCCATTGACTCATGCGATGTGTGGGAAGTGGCGCCGTTTTTTGTATCCGAATGTCGCCGAGATCACGAGCTTCAATTGAAGGCGTCAAATAGTCGGTTATCATGGTGCAATAACGGTCGCCATTGACGGTTATGATCTCACTGGCATCATTTTTGAAGAAATATGTACCGATGTTTCCAACGGCCCACACACCAAAACCAAACCGTTGTTTTTCCTGGATAAAATGGCAGCTCTTGAATCTCTTCAAGTTGCTCTTTATCCCAAATGTGGCAATTTCATTTGTTTACATACACATTGGGCCAGAAGTGGTCATCATTGCTGTACAAAATTATGCTCAAAAACATCGGTTCTTCTTTAAACTTTTGAAGAGGTCATAGAGCGAAGCGATGTCTCTTACGAAGGTCGAGTGGCTTCAGTTCTTGCACAAACGTACTTTGCACGCTTTAAACTTAAGATTTCGATGTGAAATGCGCCAAGTCGTTCCATACGCCGCGAAAGGCGCCGAATTGACTCTCCATGGTCTTCGTGTACACCCCCAGTTTGGTCCTCTATATTCTCTTCACTGTATTCTGCACGGGGTCCATTAGGTTGAATATTATTATGAATGCTGGGTCTAAAAATGGTTGCTGGCTTAACGAATAGTACACTCAGTATGTCGATTATTAAGACCATTCTTGGACAGAACGTGAATTTTCATAATAAAGTTGAACGATTTGTAAAAGTTGTTCAGCTGTAAGTCTTTCCATCAGGAAAAGCCAAACAATACTGAACAAAAAATCCATGAGAGGTTGATACGACTCACGCGTGATCTGTCATGAAAAGGCTATTGAGAAAAGTGCCTCCTCTTGGATCACTCCTTATTTTTGTTTTAATTTATTTTTGTTTATTTGCTTTCATTTTGTTGTATTTCTTTCTTTTCTTATATTAATTTTTTTACTTTTTTATGCTGTTTTTTTGTTTTATTTAATTTTGTTTTTTTCTTTTGGCTTCATGTGACTTATTTAATTCTAATGTATCAGGTGAACAAATTTGCTTCCGCCGTTTTTTTTTCCAAAATTAAAAGCTTTATTGCGAAAAAGTGCTTACAGATATTTTATTCAAAGTATTGTCCTTCACTAGCGACAACTTTCTCCCATCTTTCGGGCATTTTTCGGATCCCGGCTCGAAAAAAGGAGTCCTCTTTTGACGGTATCCATGAAGTAATCCATTTTTCCAATTCTTCGAAGGATTGAAAATGTTGATCTGCCAGGCCGTGTGCCATCGAACGGAATAGGTGGAAGTCAGAAGGAGCTACATCTGGGGAATACGGCGGGTGGAGTAAGACTTCCCATTTCAGCGTTTCCAGGTACTTTTTGACCACTTTTGCGACGTGAGGCCGAGCATTGTCGTGTTGGAGGATGACTTTGTCATGTCGCTCTTGATATTGTGGCCGCTTTTCTTTTAGCGCGCGACTAAGGCGCATCAGGTGCATTCGGTAGCGATCTTCTGTGATGGTTTCACTCGGTTTTAAGAGCTCGTAGTAAATCACACCGAGCTGATCCCACCAAATACAAATCATAACCTTGGCGCCGTGAATATTCGGCTTTGCCTTCGAAATCAACATTTTTAAAACGTTGAAACCACTCCCGACACGTTCTTTCACTCAGAGCAGCATCACCGTAAGTTTCTGAGAGCATTCGATGCGCTTCAGCTGCATTTTTTTTTTTTGAATTGTAACAGAAAAGTAAAACTTCCCGCAAATGGCGAGAATTAGGACATTTTCGAGTGTGAATAATACGAAAACAAGAACAACTTTCACTGAAATCGCGATGACAATTCGTTCGGCACTGTCCACACTCATTTTAAAGGCATTATCATCTATGCATTTCAACCAGCCTCAGCCGGTACAGCCGCCTATCGGAAAACGGCGGAAGCAAAGTTGTACATCATTATATTTAATTTATTTTTCTTAATTTTTTATTATTGTTTGGCTTAATTCATTTAATTTAATATAACTTTACTTTATTTCTTTTATTATATTTTAGTTTATTGACTGTAAGTAAATTTAGTTCAATGTAACTTAATTAAATTGACGGTTAATTTCGTTTTTGTTTGACTATATTATTTTATATAATTTTTTTAATTTTATATTATTACATTAATTTTAATTTAATTGTTTGTTTGTTTTCTTCTATGTGTAAATAGTTAATTATGTAATTAATTTTAATAAATAACTTTTTGTTTTATTTTAGTTGATTTTATTTAATTAAATTCAAAATTCATGTACGCCTTTAGTCGAGGATTAAATAATAAACAAATTTTTACAAACACTTAAAGGCAAACATATATTTACAAATAAAACTATTAACTTATAAATAAATACATAGGTATGTACATTATGTACAAATACACAATAATACATCGATTGTAATCAAAGAATATCAATAAATTAAATTAATATTAAAAGAATCTCAGCAAATAATAATGGTATGCACGCAGTTATATTGATTGCCAATGTCACATAGCAGATGTGACAATACCGTTACAACACGGATTCACTAATAGAAAAACAATAGTCATTTCAGCAGTGTGCTTCGAAACTATGCAGGGATTACTAAACGTTTTTCTTTCATAAATAGTCTATTTATCACTTCTAGGCAATTCTTCCCACTGGTGGCTGGAGATTATTCATGACTGAATCCATTTGGTACGGGACTAGTGGAGGTTAGTCTGTATTTTAAAATAAAAAAAAAATAAAAATAATTAAAATAAAACATAAATAAATAAATGAAAAATATAAAAACGCATACAAAAAATAGAATTTTAGAATTTGTTAGCTTCTTTTTTTCAACTGCAGTCAGCCACTAGGCGCTGCTGCTAACAACTTACCGTAAACTTTCCGTTCTTGAACGATGTGAGTAGTCCTTCGATAGCCGTTGCCTGAAAGATATTACTTTCATTTGTATAGAATTTCGCAAGGATTAATATGCGCATACAATAGACCAGATAAAATGTTGGCATACATACCTACGATTGCGATTTCGTAAATTACGATTATCCCGCCAACGCATAAATCGGTGTCGCAAAGCTTGGCGCACTTCCGAATTCAGAAAGCAGAAGAACAACGATACGAAGAAACCCTGATTGTGGTTTTAATTTAGAAAAAAACAAATATAAATTTTTAATGCAATTACATATGTACATATGCATATGTATGTATGCATGGAGCATATTAGATTTGCATACCTGTGTGCTTATGAGGAAGATACGCAGATTTTCAAAAACATATTGTGTTATCCCTTCACCGCCGGGAACGAAAAAGATGATGAGATATGTCACACCAAATAACGGTATGAGCACAAGTAAAGCTTTGGCCGCCTTACGATATTGGCGTGTCTCCAACGTATTGGCTGAGCGTAATTTGGTGATGAGTACCTTTGGGGAAGGAGGAACAAACATTTAAAAACAATTTATTAAATAAATGCGATGAAAATTTTACTAATTTTTTGTTTAGAAGTTTGAAAATATTAATTATTCTTAAAATAATATATTTTTCTTTAAACATACACGTATTTACTCACCCACATAATGCGTATGAGAAATATTAAATTGAGTATTAATACTAGACAGGTGGGTCCTTGGAATATCCAATCAATGTGAGATTCCCTAATCCACGAGCACTGAATGAGAAACTGAAAGTAGCATAAAAAGATATGATAATAAAAAATAATCATTTTTTTTTTAACTAGAATTACAAATAACAAGATTGGATCATGAGAAAGCTCAATCATGCTTTGCACGAATACCGAAGACTAATTATAGTGTCTTTGCACCAGATGTGTCCTTAATTTATCATCCGTCACGTAGAAATCATCTTCAATGAAATATTTCAACAAGTTTCGTGGGAAAGTTCCCTTCATTGGGAAAGATCCACCTGGTTGACCAGATTAATAAATTTTCATTCTCTTCCAAATTTAAGTGTGCATCTTGATGTTTTTCTAGTAAATGGGGGGACCTACAGTTTATTCTAAGCCGTGTTTGAAAGGCGAATGGTTTTTAATGAGGAGCTTTAATGCCAGAAATACACTCGGAAGGTATGACTTTACCTTCCGGTGGAGCACCGCAATTGGAAAGATTAATTTTCTATAATTTTGGATGTTGGTCGGAAAAATTTACTAAAGGGTTCAATTAAATGTGTGGAAGTCATCGGACTCCGGCATTCATTCCGTTGAATGTGCTTCCCGCCACAATCCACATTAAAGCGAAGTTCTTCAACATTCGCTAATTTGCTCTGTATGAGTACCTCAAGCACATGCACAGGAGTTGTCCCGTCTGATGAATTTTTTTTTATTTTTTTTTAATTATATTTTTGGCGATAGAGCTCCATCAGAGACTACTGCTTTTCATGCATGAGTCATTCGACTGTAAGAGTGCTTAAAGATGAGCCGAAACCAACTGAAGCTGTTCGCGCACCAAACTCTTCCAAGCAAATGGTTGCTTTGTATTTGGAAGAAATGAACATGTTGCAATCATATTACAAGAACAATGCAGCATAGTAAATTCTACGTGGTACACAAATAATTTGTTCGCCAAGATGGAACACTCTTCAGCACGACAATGCGAGCTGTCCCACAACGGCTATAACAACTGCATTTATGAGCACTCGGAACATTGAATTGATGAGGCATCCACCGATAGTTCCGACTTGGCACCGAATGACTTGATCTGAATTATTTCCATAAGTAAAAAATAAACTAAGAGTTTTTCCACCTGGTATGGGTGCCGGGTCTCAGTAACATAGCGGGTAATGAGATGGCGTACGAGCTTGCAAGGTAGGGCACTTCCCTTCCACTCTCGTTGTCATGGAAGAGTTTGGACAGGCAGCCCATCACTTGTAAGCTTAATAATAAGAGAGTTATTCATTAATGATGCTAACTTAAAATCGAAAAGTCAGTGTAAACAGTGTAAAGTTACGTGACCTTAACGTGCCGAAAAGCAAGGATATGTCTACAGTTGTAGGTCTTCTTAGAGGACATATTTTATTGGGCAGGTACCCAGTGAGATTGGGCGTGCAATTTGTCTAATGAATTCTGCAGAAGTTGCAGACAGGCAGAAGCACCGGAAACTTTAAGGCACTTTCTTTGCGAATGCCTCGCAATTTGGAGGAGTAGGCTGAAGCCTCTCTAGGGCGGCAACCTTTGGAGACCTGAGTGAGATAGTGGAGGCCAATATGCAGCAACTGCTTAGTTTTGCAAACTCCACGCACTGGTTCGATCAGCGGGTGGGGGTCTTTGGGATCCTGAGTGGTATCGTGATGGGTCAGTTTGGGTTCTAGTTGTGGCGATGCCTGGCAGCCGCTTCAACCAACCAACCAACCAACCCAACTAACCGTTTAAGTAGCTCTGAGGTACCCATACATATGCAATGAAATTAACATCTGTCAAGTAGCATTGCAACCGCAAACAATTTACTACCATCTGGCCCCATATTTATGTATGTATAAATAAATAATTTTAAAATACAATACATACAAACATACATAAATACATTTGTACATAAATAAGTGTCGTGTTTGTGTTATTTACTTAGGGAAGTGAAGTGATGAATTCGCCACGTGTTTATTCTCTTCATAAATATACATACATACATACATATGTACATATGTAATAGGATGAATAAGCGCTGTTTAATGTGTTGTAATTAGTTAACGTTTATTTATTTACAAAACATTGCTTAGCTGCTTACACATTACAGCATTCAAATAAAAACACGAGGTGTTACATATATGTGTACGTACATACATATGTATGTGTATATTTACTTAATACTTACACCATTAAAATGTTCCTTTTCCAATGAGGTGGCGAAGATTTTCGCTATTGACCAAACAAATATTATAGCAGCGGGACATCCTGGAAATAATGAGCAAGAACATTTGTAAGTATGTATGTATACGTATGTATGTAATGTTAACAATTTAATAATAATTACAAATACATATTTACATATGTAAAATGAAAATAAGGCGAGTGAGAAATGAATACTTGCGATTTATGTAGATTAAATTATGAAATAAATAATGAATAAAATAAATAAAAAAATAAAATGTATGTAGATATGTAAGTATGCACAGTCGACTCTTGTTAATTCGAAGCTCAAGAGACTATTGTCCCTATTGGAACAAAAATTGGAACAATCGATTTTCACAGGCTACTTCTTAGACCAACTCTTCACCAGCAAAATCATTCACCACAGACAGCAACGGATGGCTCAGTAACCACTTGGTGCGAAGTTCGGACTATGAGGTGGATGTATAAGAACCTCCCAGCCAAGCTCTTGGAGCTTCTGGCGAGTTGTTATTTTGGTGTTGCTATTGTCGTAAACGCAAAAAATGCACCGAATTGATTTTCGGCGAACATTGCGGGAGTTATAGTCCTTGGCCGTATAAAAATCCGGGTCGTTCCGGTATAAAAATCCGACTGTAGCTGGAATTATTGGATTTCAGTAGCCTCTTACGGCTGGCATGTCTTTCAGGGGATAAATTCTTGTGCTTGCAACCCACCGGGGCTGCCAGTCACTATCGATGTGTATGGTTTGGTGTTGTCCTGATTAAACACAATACCTCTTGTGCTGGCCGGAGCTTGTGGTTTATTGCTACCTTCAGACGGCCCGTTTGTTTACAGTACTTGTTTGTTGTTTGCTGGGTTTGGGCGTAGGTGAGTGGCTGTTAGTGGCTGATTCCTGGTCAATCCCACTAAACAGACAACACAACTTTGGATTGGAGACCGCTCATTGCCTTTCGCCCGCGACCATTTTGGTTTGACGTTGCCATAAATGATTAAGTTTTCTTCATCAGTCACCATACGCTTCAGAAATGGGTTGATTTTGTTGCGATACAGCAACGATTCGCCGATGGAAGTTCGGTCGACTCGTTAACGCATCTAGCACTCATACATACATCGCGCTTCTTTGTGTATCCGAGCCTTTTTCAAGTGGTTTCAAACTGTTTTTGGTGTAACACTTAGCTGCTGAACATGACCTTCGGACTCGACGATTTCCATTACTTTATCGACATTGTCGAGAATTGTCCTTCCACACCGTGGAGCATCTTTTATATCCAAATTTCCGGAACGAAATCGACTAAACTAAAATTGTGAGAAAGAAGGAAAGAAAGAAAGCGTAGATATTTTTTTATTGCAGTTTCTGAAGGATGGGTACCTCCTCCGATACCCGTTGCCAGGAGTTTCGAACCCTCCATAAATATAATTGGCGCTTTGTAACCGCTGAAGCGATTTTTTCGGCCGAGCTTCTCCTCCTCCAATTTGTGGTTTTGCGTTTTGATGTTTTTCCAACAAATGGAGGGACCTACACTTATACTAAGCCGAAATACACTCGGAGGGATGAACATTTTCTGCCGAGGGGCGATCACAATTAGAAAATTTAAATAATCGGCCCCTATATGCTCCCAGAAAGCGGACAGTCACAGTATAAGGACCATAACCACACGCTTTTTTCAATTAACGAGAGTCGACTATTCATTTTAAGTTCGATCAGGTTTCGATTATTTTACTACTTCAGTACACAACTTACCCCAACCGATGCACGCATATATTATAAAACGAATTTTATCACTGGAAAATGTTTGCACCACCAGAGTGTAGAGATAAAGACCTGTGAAGGAATGAATAATTATTATTATTTTTTAAATAATTACATAGAAATTTATTTTCAATTTAAACCAACAGTAGTAGTACCTTCCACTAGCATCCAGAAAAAGTTTGTTAAATTGAAATAGTGAGACATCATGACCAAGGTAATACAGCCAGCCTCACTGGGATGCTCAGTCATCTGGTGTTGGCGCGCACGTGAATAGATGAAAAGAATTAAGAAATTAAATTAGATTTTAATTACCATCTGCTGTCACTGTTAATGGTAAAAAACTGCAATTAGTCATGATATGAAGCAATAAAAAATAAAAAATGTTGAAAAAATGTAATTTCAAATATTTTATGTTTAATTCTTCAAAAAGCCATAATCTTACCACATGCAGCCAGAAGGTTAGTATCCATAATAGGCCCGCAAGTATATATGTGAGAAATAAATTCGCATGTATAGTGTTGCGCAGGCATTTCAAGTCTCTGAGCGTAAAAGAAAAAGTGCAAAAATAAATTTAAAAAATTCACAAATAAGTTAGTAAAATTGATTATTTACTTAATAAATCTATAAAATTTAATGTACAGACTACGGGCGGATTTTGTTTACTTTGACTTAAAAGATGTTCGTTTGTATGTGTGCAGGCAGAGACGAGAACTGATTTTTGCCTTAATTTTTATTATTATTATATTTTTTTTAATTTAATAACAAAAATATTTGTATCTTATATTTTCAAAGAATTTACACTGTAGACATATGTATGTATATGTATATTAAATATAACATTCTCAAGTTTAAATTGTGCTCTTTAAATTGTGCTTAACAGTTTTTCAAAATAGATATTAAGATGGTTTCGTCTATCAGATTGGATGAACTACTGCATAACTTTCACTGACTTCAGGTGGTTATTCTTCATAGAAACCAATCGGGTAGGGGTGCTTTAGCATAGTTACACCCGATTGGTCAAAAGTGAAAACAGGTTAGGTAGTGGAGTCTATTCAGCGGAGCTTGAAATCCGCAAATCTTTGCCTCCGACGGATCACTATAGTGTTTTTCCAGCGGAACTGGTTGCCATGCAGGACGCTGTCAACTGCTTAAGTCAAATGCTACTTTTAGTGAAGTATATATAAATATTTTACATGCGTCAGACAGCACAAAAACATCCAAAAGTCACTAAACGCAATGACCAAGAAAAGCACTCTTCGATCTCAGTTTAAAAACCAGGACACAATAGCATTACAGATAGCGAAATGGTGGACGAGATTGCAGCGGTAGATATTTCCATTCCAATTTGTCATCATCGAAGAATTTGGGCATGCCGTTCTCCACTTATAGGCTCTTCCAGGAGAGTGAAAATAAAATAGTCTGAATTAGTAATAAGACTGACTACAATCAAGAAAAGGTTGAGAGAACTTATATCGCTAAAAAGAAAAGAGTTGTCCATGATGGTGGGCTTTCTAACGAGGCATCATATTTTAGATAGGCACGTAGAGAGATTGGGCATGCCTTCTAATGACTTTTGTCTGCTACATTTCCTTTGTGAATGCCATAAGTGTCTAGGGGAGTCAACCATTGGAGACATGAACGAAATAGGTCGATTGCGCTGTCTTGCTAACTTCGCACATTGGTTTGACAAGCGGGTGGTACCACTATAGACCATTATTTAGTGGCCAAAGTGGTCAACTCAATCTAACCGAAGGTTATATAATGTTGCTAATTGAACATCTGGAAAATAATTTCGGTTACGTATACGCACAGTTGGGCTTGTAATAATGGAAAATCACTTCAAAATTTTTCTCATCTATTTAAAATATTGTAATATATGTACTTCACTCATATTTAATGTAAACAAATTTTTTCTTTTAAATAAATTTTAGATGCCAATATATTTCTAGCACTTTATTCGTAATAAAATAATAATGAAAATCATTATTAATTAAAATTTAAATAAATTTATCGAAAAATCAATATCGACCATTTTTGTAGCGCCTTTAGTTTATAAGAATAAGTTATTATTATCTTTCGATTTCATATAAACTGTGGACAAGAAATTGAAAACACATGAAAATTTATTTATATGATATACATATGTATGTATATAACATATTTATGAATTTAAGGAATTTAAAATAAATTTTTTTTGGCACAAAATATAAATAGAAAGTAATTAGGAATTTGATATTTTTCCTAATATGTACGAGGTGTGTTCAAGAAATATTAAGGTTTTAATATTTTTTAACAAAATATCTACATTTTGTATTGTTTTTGCGGCCATACTGTTAATTTTTTTGTTATAAATTTTAAGTGAGCTAAAGACCTGATTTTTTGTTGCTGTTGCTGTTGCTGTTTTAACATCTATTCTACTCAGCTTATGAGTAGGCGAAATAAGTCAAGTCATCGACATCATCCAACGTGAGGTATAGAAAACGAGCTGTTTGGACGAGTTCAACGCAAAGGGAAGCAGGGTTAGCTGAGTGGGTTTAAAGAGAAAAAAAATAAAGCGGTTGGTGTCGGGCGGGGTCTTATTGCACGTAGGGCATACGTTCGTGGTGCCGGTGTCAAGTCTGGATGAGTAGGAATTTAGTCGACTATAATATACAGATCTTTATCGTGCGAGTTATTCGGGCTGTCATCCCTTCGGTGACCTAAGCTCAATTTTTGATACAGTCTTAAACTCTTTTTTTTTAGTTTTTAGTCTCAGCTTTAGCTTTGCAATTAGATGTACAAACGATAGGCACGCCTATTGGCTAAATCAACTCGACTTGTCATGCCAACTCGATTGGTTAAAATTTTGATTGGGCTAACTCTTCTCCTTCGGACCGGGCACATGATAGGTATGAAAATGTTTCCCATTCATGACAATTAAAAATTATAGTGCTTTTTTGAGCACACCTCGTATCTATATATATACTTATTTTTATTTATTTTGTTTTGTTTTTGTTAACTTGTTTTATGAATTTTTTGTTTACTTTAAATTTTGTTTTTTTTTTATTTACTTTTTACTTACTTGAAAAAATAGAAAACGATCAGTGCCAAAATGAGCGACGTCAAGCTGACGAAATATCCAATGAAATATATGTAGGATGATAATTCGATTGTTGGCGAGAGATCAGCCAGCTGTGGTGGCAGCATAGTCGCCGGCTGACATCGCATATACTCCGTGTAATTGGCCCAAGTACCATCCGCAAAACATTGACGGGTTACGTTCTCTATGCGAGTATGGGAATGGGTAATAAATATTCGATTTTTATTCAATATTTTTTAAATACTAATTAAGTAGTTCTAGAAATAAATACTATACATGAAAATGCCATTCATCAACTGAATAATCGTTCTGATTTATTTCGGATTGATTACTCAATTACCAATTTAAGTAAATAATTTTACTAATTTCAAATGATCGTAATATTTTTTACTTCTACATATATACAATATATACAATTAGTAAATAGCAAATTTTTCTCTTTCATTCTTATTACAGATTCATCAGTTAATTTCTATAATGAAAATTTAAAAAACTAAAATTTGAAAATAAAATAAAAAAAATTATTCGCACATTTTGTCTGATTTTATTCATTTTTCGAAATTTAACTGCCTCGTAATTTACTGTTCCACATTTATTAAATTTTAAGCAATTTACCTTTGGTGTTGTATTGGATCCCTTTGAATTCCGAAAAACATGGCTGTGTCGCCGTTGTATTTGCCGGTGTTTCTGGCCAACAAAGCACAGCGTCAAAGGAGGGCGGGCAGCTTAAGGCGGGCGCTAGTGATTTGAGCATCTAATGACACAGAAAAAAATAAAAATAATATTTTGTAAAATAAATATATGTATGAACATATATGTACATAAGTATGATTTCATATAAAAAAAAAAATTCAAAAAAAAAAAAAAAAAAAATCTACTCAGTGCGTTGTGAGCGCTCGTCAAAGATGGACACCAGTAAACCGAAAATTCACTAAATTTTACAATTTTTCTTCGATGAAGGCGAAAAGCAGCCAAAGCGGCTGAAAAAAAATAATTAAGTTAATGCGCCCGATACTGTTAACGAGCGTGTAGCACAAAAGTGGTTTGTTAGGTTCTGTTCAGGTAATTTCGATGTCAAAGATGCACCACACGGCGGGAGGCCTGTCGTCGAAAATTGCAATAAAATCATGGAAATAGTGAAAACAGACCGTCACGTGAGCACTTAATTAATTGCTAAGGAACTAAAGATAAGCTGGAAGTCGTTTGGAACCATTTGCACAACCTTGGACTCAAAAAGAAGCTCAATGTTTGGGTGCCACACGAACTAACGCAAAAACCCATTAAGGACAGAATTTCCAGCTGCGAATCGCTGCTGAATCGCAACAAAATTGACCCGACTCTGAAGCGAATTGTGACTGGCGATGAAAAATGGATCACTTACGATAACATCGAGCGCAAATGGTAGTGCTCAAAGCGCGAGGAAGCTGCCAAGACCTGATTGACGGCAAGGAAGGTTTTGCTGTGTGTTTGGTGGTATTAGCAAGGAATCATCTACTACGAGCTGCTCCCCAAAAGTTCAATTGGGCCTTCTACTGCCAACAAATGGTCCGCTTGAAGGCTGCACTCATACAGAAGAGGCATCCTTTGATCAACAGAGGCTGAATTGTATTCCATCAGGCCACACACGTCTTTGGTGACGCGCCAGAAGCTCCAGGAGATCGGAAGGGAGATCATAACGCACCCACCTTATAGTCCGGACCTGGCATCAAGTGATTACCATCTTTTTCTGTCCCTGGCGAACGCGCTTAATGGTGAGAAGTTGGCCTCAAGAGAGGCCTGTGAAAATTGGCTCTCTGAGTTTTTTGCCAATAGGGACGCAGCCTACTATGAGAGAGGTGTAATGAAGTTGGCATCTCGTTGGGAGCTAGTTTACGAACAAAACGGCGTAGATTCGACTTAAATCGGACAAATGTACACAAAGTTGACATATTTTGAAAAATCAATAAAAAATCGAACGAACCTTTTACTGGACCTAATAGTATCATAAGTAATATTACGTAAGAATTAATTATTTAAGGACTCACTATTAGGAAATTCCTTAGTGAACAAAAAAATATAAATAAATATTTTTTCGATTTTATAAACATTAATAATGAAGTTTAACGAAATATTCCGCCTAAATTGAAGAGCAAATATTTTTTAAAAACCCAAAAGCTCATTAAAAACCAGACAAACACACATCATGCCTCATGTGTGGGGTACATAGCATATGCTAAAGTAACTGTAAATGTTAACGCAGTATTTCACATTACACATATATACACGTATGTATGTATGCTCGTATGATTTTATTGGTGCATAAACAAATGATGTTTATTTTTTATTTGCTCAACTTTATTGCTCTAAACTACACAACAACGCAATGCAACTAATTAATTTGTGGCCCGTGGCGTTTGCTCCTTGCTGGCGTAGGCTTGTGGTAGCAAATGCGTTGGTCAGCAACGCTGGTTATGGTAAACACTTACTCGTGCACATGTCGGTAGCTCTACCATGGTCGCACATCAGGTTTGTACAATTCAAAATTCGCTACAAAAAGACCCAAATTGGAAGCAGACGTAGTCCCTGCCAGAGACAGGATATTAGAATCGAGCGATCAGAGCAATGCGATTGTCGAAAAAAAAGTTCAAAGCTAAGATGCTTCCTTGATGGGAGAAATAAAATATCGGAAAAAGAAGATCAGAGTTTAATAATCAGATATAACTTCATATTGGCATCCGGATATTGATAGCTTGGGTTCGATGAATCCCACTTTTTCACTGCACGATACCTACAGCTGCAACCTGACTACTCTTTTCGCCAGTAAAAGTTCCGATACTCGAAACCACATTCGATTGCGTGCCCTTCCTCATTTTGCAAGCGACTGCAATTGTTTTGTGTCACAACAAAATCTTCAAGAAAGACGCTCTAATTTGGACGCCGGGGCGCAGCGAGACGCAGTTTAAAAAAAGCTTATATCAGTATACCGCCCTCAGGACCGACACAGGAAACCCACTGTTGTCGCCGGAGCATCATTTGCACAGGGAAACATCTAGGCAATGAGTTAAGGACCATAATGTTGTGCTGTGCAGCAAGATCTGCTGGGATGAGGTCGAACCTTTAGTACTAGATTATATAGACTACACTAAGAGCCGTAGACCAGAACCGCTAGATAGAACGGCGTACCAACAGGCGTTTAAATCCATTGTCCGAGCGTCTGTCAACATCTTCTTGAACTGTTTTCCTGGTGAACGGCGTCTTCCAAACTGCAGCACCACTTATATGCCAAGTCTCCAAACTACCTGATAGAACCGAATAATATTGGAACAATGAATTTGACCCCGTCTTATCCAACGTATGCTCTGCATGCAGTGAGATCACACACAATACTAATCTCCTTTCGCAGGCCCCTTGCTTCGAGCTCGCCAAAACAACTTGTTTCCTGATGGGTCCTCGGTTTTAGAGCTGGCCGCTACAGCAACAACAACCAAATATAACCCAAAGATATAATCTGAAAGTAAACCGGGCGATACCGCATACCACAGAGTGGTGTCTAAGGTAAGAGAGTCTCATATTGGAAATTTCGATAGAATTTGAATAAAGTGAAAAAATTGTATCGAAAATGCAATCCCTGTATACCGAATTCAAAACAATGAACTCTAGATATGGGAAAATAGCTGAACCGTTGCTTAGTGGACGAAATGAGTGATTTATCGTCGTTTCGAAAAGTTAAAAAATAAAATAATTGTTTCATAATCGATAACTAATACCGCACTGCTTTAGGGTTTTAGGAATAACATACCTGAAGATGGATGCCGGCAAAAATGTCTAAATGCCCGAATTTTTCATTCGACGGCAGTGACTCGCAAGTATTCCCCGAGTGACCTACAACTCTCAACGCGTTTTTCTCGATACAACTTTTTTTAACGGGCCGAAGACATAACTCGAACAAATCTTCACCGATTCTTACGAAATTTTGACAGTACATTCGAAATACCTAGCTTTTTTTATATCAACAATTTTACATCGTCTTTTGTAGGGAAAATTGGAACTTGTCGCGAAAAAACAAAATATCGAAAAATTTCTAAGTACGTCTCTTGCCCTTGTAATTTAGAAACTAAAAAAATTTTATTTTTTCATCCAGGACAAAAAAAAAGATCCAACTCCATCTTCGGTCATGGAGCCATTAGAAAAAAATGCGTCTTCGGAGAAATGCTGGACAGCGGCCATTTTGAAATTAATTCACACAAAAAGTTTTGTATTTGCACCATTAAACCTATTTCACAGATTTTGGACTGATTCCTTTGTTGAGTCAAAATAAATTCATAAAATATGCCCATTTTTTGCGCTCTAGACCAGCTTCCCTTAAGAAAATAAATATAAATTTTTATTAAAATAAACATTGAAATCTATTTTTATTATATTTAATAAATAATATTTTTTTTAGGACTCAATAACCAGTGGATAGAAAAATAAACAAAACAAGTGAAATTAAAAATCATTTCTGTAATTTAAAAAAAAAAACTCGAAATTACATATGTTGTCTACAAAAATAAACGTAAAACAAGTTTAAAAAAAAAATGTTTAAAATATATCTAAGGCATTAGGTCAGTTAATAGCAGAGGCGGTGCAGGCTAGTCAAGCATAAAGTCAGACTAAAAGAAAGAGTGGAACCTGTGAAACAGCGCTATTGCCCTGCTTCTAACATCATACAGTCCCATATAGACAAGGGGGCGCTAGAAAAATTACAAAGTTCTTAGGAGTCTCCAACAGTTATGATTAGGAAGAAAGATGGCATATAAAGGCTTTGTGTAGGTTATAGGTCATATGTGTGGCTAAGAAATGTCAGGCAGTTTTTGTTTAGTCTGAATATAAAACCCGCTTACTGGCGAATTCCCTTAGAGGAGAGTTTACGGTACCATGTGGAGAACTAGTACAATTTAAGAGGATGCCATATTCTATTTGTATGCTTGTTTTAGTGATCTTTGAAGCTAAACGGCAGATTATATTGAAATTTTGTTAGTTTGTTTCTATGCTTCCTGGAAGAAAATTTTCGGGAAGTGAAGCAGGGTCTGACCTATTCAAAAAAGAAAAAAATGGCTTTATGCTTCGAATTGCTTGGAACTCGGTATATGGATGGCAATTTACTTTTATCAGCAGGAGGATTGGCATAGTTCCATAGTGATGGCGTATGGACTAACATTCGGTAGACCAGGATGCGAGTGAGTCCTGGTTCGAAAATATAAAAACTTAATTTCTCCAAATAAGCTAGAAATATTCATATCAACTCTACATGTATGGTTTTGGAATGCCAAAAATCCAGTTTACACTTAGCGAAGTTGGGAAATTCTCCAAAAATCAACTAAAACATTAACACATACATCACTTCACAACTCAACAAAATTTCCGTTTGTATTTATTTAAAAATTATTTACCTAAAAATAATCGTATACGAATGTATGTACAAATACATATACAAATGTATGTATATATGCGTGTAGTCACATATCTTCATTTCTGTCAACTACGACAAAAAATGCTGTGTCAATTTTTAGATAAAGCAAAGCGCCAAAATACTGTCGTAAATTTCTACTTGATCCACGTACGAACACACCACCGCACATATACAAATATACAGACGAGTACACATGTATGTACATGCAGAGATATGAATATGAAAATCTTCATAAACCAAAAATGTTTCCCACTCACCGACTTTTGATTCCCACTTCGTTCGCAAAGCTCCTTCAGCGTTTGGTTCACATATATCGTCACACCGCCAGGTGCTGGCGCACTCTCCGCAAGGACCTCTTTGGCGGCCAAACGCAACATTTCCGTTGAGAAATTGGCAATCATATTTTCGATATTGAGCGTCGAAGCGTCGGTATCATCTAGACTTTCTACAAATGCTCGCGCATCTGCTAAGGACATCGCTATGCAGTCTGTATGTGTCTGTGTGTGTGTGTGTGTGTGTGTGTGTGTGTGTTGCTATTTAATGCTGATGTGTTGGCTATATGTTGGTCGTTGGCGTCGCCAATGGCCGCCAATGCTTACCACAAGCGCTGTGTTAGCTGTTTTGAACGGTGTTGCTGTTGTTGTTATTATTGTTGCTCAACTATCGTGCGTCTGTCGGCAATTAGTTGGTATTATTAACTCAATGTGTTGTTGTGTTTGCTGCAATTTTTGCTGTTGTTATTGACCTTGTTGACTTAGCCGTTAAGTTTATTGATGGTAATTTCTGTTTATGTTGTTGCTGTTCTTGTTGTGAAGCGTGGCAGTCATTTGCTCAGCAAATTTAACGATTATTATACGCATTGTTGTCGTTTTTGTTTTTCCTACTGTTTTGCCGTCGCAATTCTATTTGATCATTTCAACTATCAGCTGCAACTGCTTTTGCTTCTTCTTCTTCTCCTCCTTCTTCCTTATTCTTCTTCTTCTTCTTCTTCTTCACTCGGCTTTCCTTTATTGACTAAAAGGTGTGCTGCCTTAATTAGACTTAATGCACGGCGTATCTTTATGTGTTTTGTATATGTATGGGTGTTTATTTTTGCAATATTCTAATGTAAGTTTGTGTAAAGAAATATTTTTTATGGTCACCTTCCTGCAACCGCAACAGTTTGGCCGACGTCCGCTAAAATAATGCGTCACGCGCGTAACTCAAATGAAAGTGAATTTAAAGATATGAAATTTCATTTTCTTTCTGACATGCTGATGTGTAGCGGCCTTATCTCCGAACAGTATAATAACTGTAAATAAAGTAGAAATAAAAAAATTAATACATAAAAAGAAGAAACAATAAAAAATATAACAAAATGTTGAGCTATTAAGCAAGTGTCAGTCTTTACTGAACACGAGGATAAGATCCAAACAAGTAAATATACTCGTATATACTCAAAACCTGCACAGTGGGTCAAAAAAGTCGATGCACTCAAGATAGTAATTATTATTTTCGAAGTATTTGGAAAAAAGGAGAACACTCAGCGCTTAAAAAAATATAAATTAAGTAGACACGGCTTTCAGAACTAGAGCAAATATCCAATTATTGGATGAGTGCATAAGTTCGTGCCCGATTCCGCTGGATGCCGTTCGAATTGTTTGAGAGTGGCGCNAAGTTGGGAGTGGATTGCCGAACATGATGGCGAATACATAAACAAACAAAAAACAAACTGTATTAAAAACGAGAAAGAACAGCGGTTCTCGGCCATGCCGATAATCTTAATGTGAAATGAAAATGAAAATGGACAATTTTCATAAAATTACCTAAAGAAGAATTCAAGCAGCCCAAAAAAGCGAAAAAAAATCATGCAAATATATTTAAAATAGTTTATAAAGAACCAGTTTCTGTATGTTAATCTACACGATACGCTACCAACAAATTTAATTTCTAGTGAATGGTATTCTATCTAAGATTATCTCGCATGACTCGGTCCCCGAGATTCTCTTATTAAAGTTGATTTTTATTTCGGTCCAGATGATATCAATTCGGGAAGAACTATAAATGTTTTTCAACCGAGGGCTTCTCATCGAGCGAGATCGCTTATGTTTCGTTCTAGAATTATTTTTTCCCTCACTTGGATACTATATATCTATTCTGCATAATAGCGTACTCTGTGGAATCGGTCGGCTTTTACGCACGTAAATGCAATGGAATGGATCCCGTATTGCGTGCCTTCCAATCAAGCTTTTGCTTAAGTCAACGAATGATGCCATCTCTTGGGTTACTGAATGGACCAAGCCAATCAAATATCTGCTCGGTGACCCTTGGTCCGCTTCCAACAGTTTTTATATATTAATCCAAACAAAAAAGAGACCATTTTTTCGAATAGATCGGTCCTTGGTACTATTGCTGGAAGCAAAAGTAATGTTTTAGTGCAAAACTAAGCAAAAAGCCATCTATGCATATTTTGATCCGGTCGGTTTACATTTTAGCCGACCTGTCTCTTCTCTTTTTGGTAATTAAATGCCTCGGACCAAGTCAACATACCATTTCTCGTACATAAAAGGTATAAAATAATATACTGCACATAGCTGGTATTTAAGTTAAATAAATTAAAGTATTTATGTACGATTAGATAAACTTGTACAATATATATACACATATATATATAAATATATAGTTATTTAAGAAAGTGTATACAAGGTCGCAAATAGGAATAACCCGCTTTCCAAGAACGAATGAAAAGAATTTAATCAAAATGTTTATATCTTCATTTTGATAAACGCGTTCAAAATCAGTGCACGCGAAGAGGTTGACTGCATAAGTACGTTAACTGAGAAATTCTTATTTTATTGGAAGTTATTTTATTTCATTTAATTTTTAGCATAAAAAATGTCTGTTAACTTGTTGACAAACATCCGCATAGATGATTTCATTAGGACAGCTCCTGTTGAGGTGCTTGACTCGCTAAGTCGGTTCAGCCCTGCTTGTTGACAGAAGAGCGCTCACTGGCGCTTTCTCCGGCTTTAACGATGCAGTGGTACTCATATGCCAATTCTGCTATAATCAGGTACTTTGAGTAATTGATGAAAGAAAATTTCCGTGCTGGCGCTTCTATCAAGTTTCTACTAATCGTGAAGAAGTTAAACCGAAAACGCGACTACAGAAAATTTGTGTTGTTGTTGTGTCTGTTTGTTAAATATTGTCTTTCAGAGCAGTTATCCGTCTTCCAAAAGGTAGTCGCCTTCAATGATTTTAAGATTGTCTCGGTAATAGTGCAAAGCGAGCGTTGATGGGAAACCCTATAGTAAAAGGCAATACCTATAAAGCCGAAGAAGAACCAACACTAACTTATTGGTTACAAGAGTGTACTCTGCTGCCTAAGAGGAGCCATGATCAATTTAGGTCGGCTGTGAAAATCTAATGGTCATCTAGCCTTACCCAGGATGCACTACGAGAACAGAAACTAACTATTTTAATTTATTTTATTAATGTTATTTTATTTGCCCTTATTTTATTTTTTTTATTTTATTTAATTTTTGATTTTATATTATTTTAGTAGATACTTTTATAATATTTTTTAGTTTAATTCATTTAATTTCATTTCATTTATTTATTTTGTTATTCCATTTTTTTAATATATTTTATTTTATTTTATTAATTCAATTTTATTTTGCCTTATTTTGTTTTATTTAAATAATTTTTTATTTTATTTTATTCTATTTTATCATATAATTATAAATATATAATATAAATATACCAGTAAAATCGAATAACATAAGATTGAATATAAATAAAATATAATAAAAATAAAACAAACAAAATTTAATTCAATTTAATTTAATTAAATAAAACAAAATAAAATAAATTGAAATGAAATAAGAAATTGAGTTAAAAACAATCAGTTCAAATCATATTAAAAAAAAATAAATACAAAAAAAAAAAAATAAATAAATTTAAAAAAATGAAATAAAAAAGTAAACAAATTAAATTATTTTTTTATTTTATTTATTTTATTTCATTATATTTTGATTTACTTTATTTAGTTTTATTTTATTTCATTANTTTATTTTGCTTTATTTAGTTTTATTTTATTTTTTTTTTTGTTCTTTATTTTATTTTATTTATTTTCTTGTATTAAATTAAATTAAACTTTGCTTTTTTTTGATTATATTTTATTTATATTTAATCTTATGTTATTTGATTTCATTCGCTGTGTTTTTAGTTAATTTAGCAAATTTAGTATTAATCATGCCAACCTCGTAAGCATTTCGTTTGCTCGTATGCTTAAATAATGCAGATCTTTAAATTTACGTTCAAGATTATGTACTTTTACATTCATACATACATGAGACAAGCCATAAAAAAGAAGTAAAAATAAAAAGCTCGTAAGGCAAATTCATATGTCTCTATGAACATAACTAAGTCCCACAGCTTTAAGTTGTCGAACAATGTCTAACCAAAATATGTTTTCTCGCTGCAATTAATGAAGGTGAAAAGCTGAAAAACTTTTTTATTTTGACACAATAAATCCTAGATTTATGCCCAATAACATGAGTAATGGAATTTTCGTTTGATTGATGCGCTTAACGCGCCAGACAAAAAGATTATGCGTTTATATGTATAATAAAAAAAGAAAAAAAAAGATTAAGATCATATATATACGAGTATATATACACTGACGGCCCGGTACGTATAAAGTGGTATAATAAAGAAGTCTAATATTAACATAAAATTACTTTATTCAAGCAAAAATATGTTTTAATTATTGCTACTTATTTGAAAAGTTAAGCCAAAACAATTGGATAAATATTTTTTTTGTTTTTCCATTTTGAGCTTGATTAAACAAACGGCTGGGGGTACCGCCTCTGGAACAGGTTGGGTGAGAGACATGATTCGTCCAAATTCACACCACAAACTTCAATTGTTTCTCAATTGGTCCTCGGTGATGGACTTCTTAAACCATGATATTATACTCCTTGAATTGGAATCATCGGGATACAAACAAACTTCTCCTTTTGATTTACCTGCTAAGAGCGTAGTTTCAATCGAATTAGGCATTCATTTTTTCACTGCCAATCTGGTGTAATTATACAGTTTTGGGGGATTAACATTTCGCTATAATATAATCAAAGAATCAACTTCAAATTCAAGCAATGCGTTGGTATTCCCGCCGGTTCCAATGAATTTAAAAATCCAGTTGAATAACTCATTGCCTTATCTTGGTTCATAACACTGTCAATTGATTTATATTTATGTAGTGATTACACCTGACAATTTCCCTTGAATTTAAAAAAAAGGCATTGATATTAATGCTTTTTGGCGCTAAAATGGCGCACCATAATTCTGAACAATATTCGGAAAATCACATTCAATCAATTCATCTACCGATTGCGCAATTGTACAAAACTTGTCCGGTATAGTGATCAATCCGTCGATTTGTATTTTACCATCACCAATTTCTAACCATCGGTTTTGAAAACTCATTGGCAGCTGGATCATTTTGCAGACAAATATGCACACTGCAGTGTAAGTATGAATTTTTGTTCACAATTCCAAGGATCTGTTGATTTCAAACAGGCGTCTATTAAATCAGCAGGAATTGATTGAAGAATGACACACAATATTTGACGAAAATTCCCTGAGAGTCACATTAAAGCACCACCAAAAAGCTGTTGATTCCCACGTAAATCCTACATGATTCGATTAAATGCTCCAAGTGATTTTTTATACACCCATTGAACACCAATCCCATAAGGTAATTCAGGTTAATCGCCGAACGTTTGTCACAGCAGAATTTCTCGAAATATTGCAAGTCGGAGTTTCAACCAGCTGTACATTCAATAGTAATTCTAGTGCAGAGTTTGGGGTTTGACCAACTTCTAATAATGAAGCAGCAATTCCTCAAGATGCAATTGCCAAGACAATTTTCTGTTTTGATCGAATAGTCGCCGAAACCAATGATATAACGAACGTTCTGCCTGTGCCACCATGTGCATTCTAGAAACATAACCCACCTGCATTATTGGAAACGGATTGCAGGATTGTATTCATTTGTTATAAAAAATGTGACCAATGAAGAACCGGTCGACATAAGCCTGCTGCTAAGTAGTCCGAACAAGACGTAAACTGGTTGGTTTGGTTTGCATAGATGAGTCTGTTCTTGAGTTATAAAATTACAAGGAAAAATAACATTAATTTTTAAAAACAGAGATTTATCTGATACGTAGAATTTCAATCTATTTTCAATGAGCTGAAATTCATGGGTTGTTCAAGTCGCGTCACTATACGAGGTGCGTTCAATAAATA